CCGGGGTGGCAGAGACCTTACGGGGCAGAAAAAATACTATTGCCTTGGGTCCTGCATTTGCCGAGAAAGGCCCAGCAACCAGTTAAAGAAACTTCTTAAAACAATAGAATACTAACGTACTGTTACATGAGATAAAAAATGATACTTGTAAGGTGCCAAAGCACTGTGTTTCTATGTCTCCAATATACAGAAATAGTTATCAATGAATTCTCAAATGTTTCAGTTCTGGAACATCCTTAGTCACGCTATCCACCGCTTCAAACTTAACTTTCATACCACACTTCAGAAATGAATTGGTTTTACTGCATTCATTTTACTGTTGTTGAGACATGTAAAAGACACCTCTGAAGTGTTGAGCTGCTGTAGTAACGCTTCGTGGGTTTATGGGTGCCTTTCCTCTGAGGGTCTGTTCTGCAGCTTCCAGAGATGGGTGCAGTTCTTAACACAGTAAAGTGCACAAGAAAGAGCATGTCTCTGGTTGCAGGTTTTGACTGTTACAGTCTATAAGTGATTTCCTTACCTATTCGATAATAACTGGAAAGGTAAATGTGCAGATAGGAAGATGTGTTACAAGTGAAACTGTATTTCCCGTCTGCTCATAATTAATGTTTTTTTCTTCTGTAATACCCAATTATCTCCCTTTCATCCAGTTTCTCTGTTGAATTCCTGTAATAGTAGATTACTGTCTAGAGAATACATCAAATCTGTTGTCTTCTAGGGAGTAACTAACATGTATGTGCTGCAGTGGTTTTGTATGTACCTGAAGGAACCCCTGCAAGTGAAAAATACCCTATTTCAATATCGGGATATGGTAATGTAATTGCACTTAATATATGGAAAAATCATTATTTAACTTTTCTCTGAATACAGGTTCATAATAAAACACCATAATGAAAATACAAACTCCTGTTCAGCATGGGAAAAAAGGGTAACATTAATCAAACAAGTTGCACAAAGTTTTGGTTCATTTTTAATTTCCAAGTTTCATGGTTACCTTTATATTATTATTATTAAGGGAAAATGTCCTGAAGATGGATGGGATGAAAGCACCATTGAACTGTTTCTTCATGAACTTGCTATAATGGATAGCAATAACTTTCTGGGCAACTGTGGTGTGGGTGAGAGGGAAGGAAGAGTGGCATCAGGACTCGTTGCCCGAAGGCATTACAGGTACAAATTATTGGCAATTTGAATTATATTTATTATTAATGCTTTCAAGTGGCGTATTTTATTGTGTCTTGTTATCTGAGACCTTGATAATGTTTGAGGAAAACAGTATAATGCAATATTGAATTGATACAACTTTCTGTATTGAATTTTTGTTTCTACCTTGTTGGAAAGTCTTGAATGAAACAAAAATGTTTTGTTGGGGTTATGTCCTGTATGCAGAACTGGTAGAAGCTTAAGATGTTTGACTGCATGCAAGGGAAGCAGAGAACTTCCTGTTTTAAAGGAATTTGTGCGTTACTTGCCTTTTTTAATACTGTACAGTTTTTCTTCTGTATATTAATAACAACTACTGCATATTGTAGTTGTAAAGTATCAAACATTCCTAATGAACAGCTATTTGTATTTTGTTATGTTCATTAATATCTTTATAATGTGATTAGTTGATATGCGCATGAAAACCCAGTCCATCTATAATAGATTTTATATGAAGTAAGGAGATCTATAAAGACAAGAAGAGCTTTTAATAGCTTGTAGCCCTTCTGACACTTGATGAGTATGTTGGATGCTATAGTTCTAGAGACTCTGTGTTAATTTCTTTATAAATGTACTTTTTTTTTTGCATAGAGTTATGTGCTGGGTACCTTGCTGTGATGTTTTATCTAACAGGAATGAAACAAAGTGAAATTTCCTGGAATGTTTCTCCTTGAAAGATTAACACAAAAGCATATTAGAGACCAGAAATTTAGTAAGCTTTACCATATGGCATTGAATTACTTAGGCTTAATGGCTTTTATAAGCCCTACAGTAGCACGAAAAATTAATGAAGAAAGCCAGTAATATATCAGTTTGGCTTTTTGGGGGTTTTTGTATCGCTCTCTAGTCTAGGATATGTGTGGTGAGGGAGGCAGAGGGTCACACTGGGGAGAGTATCCAAGGAAGTATTGCTTTCTGACAATCCTGGAGAAAGCATCCCCAACTTCTGGCCAGAGAGAGGCTGGGCTGGCATTTAGCTACTGTTGGTCTGATGCACCTCTGTCGCCTGGCATTTCACCTTCACCTATGGGTGTCAGCAATAGCAAGGAAAGGCATGGAGGTGTCCTTCACTCCACTTACTTCTGCAGTAGGTTTTACAGGTAATTTTGGGAGTGATGGAGGTAGCAGGAGATGGTTCTCAAGCTGTCTTTCCTTTCAGCTTAATAAATTCTAAGGGCCAGTCTTAGGGAGGTTTGTTCCTTAGGAAGGAGTACATACGTGCAGAAAAGAAAAAGTGGTAGTATGAGAAAGCTATTAAGAACATGGCAGCAGGAACGAGGGGAGGAAATATTTTTGATGGAGTGAGGATTATGTGCAAGTTTCAATTAACTATCAAGCTATTGTTGATTTCAACCTATAGCTTGAAATGGGGAAAAAAATCTAAGCTGTAAAACTATGCTCCAAGAAGTTCTGAATTCCATACACTCATCAGGCTGCGTTTTACTCAATTCCCAAGACAAAAACAGAATTAAAGCCATGAATAGATGTGTGTTGTTACTAGCTTACTTGAGCAGCTGCTGCATTTCAGCCATGGGTAAAGTTAGTTCTGTAAGCTTATATTTTATAAATGATTTCAGGATCCTCCACTCCTGAAAGGTGCTAAATAATATCCAACATTTATAAATGCAGCTTATAAATGTAATTTATAAACAGAATGCAGAGAGAGATGGTAGTGTATGATGCATAATATTGAATAGTAGAATGAGGTAGATGAAGTGTAGATGTAGAAAAAGATGGGCAAAATGATACATTAACCGAACTGTCTTTCAGAACATTTCTTCACCATATATATTATTTCTTTGCCCTACGGAGATGAAGCATTTGTCAGGGGAGTATCTGTAGAATACCACTATGCCTATGATATGCTACACTATAGGCAACTGATTTTTGTTTTCCTTAGAGTTGTGTGTGTGAACATGACAGCATTTATGATGCTAATTCAACAGACATCAAGAAGTGCTGAGGTATGCTTAAAAGGAAACCTGCCAGATGCTAAAGGTGTTGCTAGTATGGATCTTCTCAAAGTTTTTACTTGCATATTGGAACACTGTTAATCTGCTGTTAAAAAAAAATAATTCATATATATGTAGTTTGTTATAGTGGAACTCATTATAGCAGATACTGATGTTGCATTGGATATGGCATTTTTCACAATTGTTTATCAAATTAAATTATCTTCAGTCAGCAAGAATTATTGCTTTGGGATGTGAAAAAACTTGATGTATGTCTTCAACCTTTTTTGTTTAGGTTGATCCATGGAATTGGAAGGTCAGGTGATATTTCTGCAGTCCAGCCTAAAGCTGCAGGGTCTAGCCTTTTGAACAAGCTTACTAATTCAGTAGTTCTGGATATTATAAAGCTGGCTGGTAGGTGTAAATCTGAAAATGTCTCTTGTTTGTGGGGGCACGTCATGGGTTCTTCATGTTAATTTCTAACTTGCTTTTTCTGTGCAGGTGTCCGAACAGTGACCAGTTGCTTTGTGGTTCCTATGGCAACCGGCATGAGTCTAACTCTGTGTTTTTTAACATTGCGGCACAAGAGACCAAAGGCAAAATACATTATCTGGCCACGTATAGACCAGAAATCTTGCTTTAAATCAATGATAACTGCAGGTAAGAAGGAACTGACTGATTACACAGTGTGTTCTTTTAACAGATATAAAACTTCACTGAGTAGAGTGATCAATTCATATGCTTGCAGTAAGATCCAGAAAAGGCCTAAGGCATAGTAGTTCTAAGTGCTTTATTTCTACACTCCTGATTTCTAACATGCAATCACACGTATGAGTTGTCTTCCTAATGCCTTGTAAAATGTAGGCATATGCTGGGGTACAGAGGTGTATAAAATCGTCGATAGAGAACACAATACAAAGGAAGTTACAGTTCACTCTCAGATGCCTACTTTGCTGTCCTGAGAATTACGTAAAACCAAGGCTCATGGTTGAAATCTCTGTCTTAGGTTTATGCAAAAAGCATATAGGTCCTAGGAGTTGTGATCAGAAGGTGACAAACTGTCTGATTTGCACTTTCTTTTCTTTTAGAACATTGGGAGTGTTAGCTGCCCTATTTGTTTTTAACCTTGCAGTGTCATTCAGCTTACTCAGGTAATGAGTTTGATGCCTTTCTTAGTTCAAACCTTAATTTCTCTCAAATGGAGTTCCTTGTTTACCAGTCTATAAGTTAAGCTAAGTGTAGAAGTCTATCCCTGCACTGAAGCTGTCACTTCCTGCAGACAGATGCATGGGATCAAGGAAAGGGCAAGTAAGGGAGACCGTAATTTTCCGGCTCAGTGCACATACCTGCAGGTGGTGGCATAGATTCTGGTCCTAGTTCCTAGGACACACTTATTTTTTGCATAAAAGAATCATTAGATAAAAATGACTAAACAATTGGAAGCAGGGACTGGATTCTGTCCAGGTAAGATGCAGAGGTGTTTAAAAGAAATCAGATTAGAACAAATAAAACATGTACATAAGAAAAGTGGGAGTGTTTTCAGAATATTATGCTCAATTTAGAATATCAAGCTAAAGAAATTACGTTTACAATGGAGAAGGTTGTCAGGAAATATAATTGATCCATTAATTTTTTGAATAGTTAAGACAGCTATCACAGAATTAATTAAAAGAATTATCAACTAAAAATAAGAGAGAGGCAGGTATCGGATATCTCACAACTATGTATTAAGTGCAGTCTCTGTCTTCTGAATCACTAATTGAAAACTAGACTAGGGCTAACAACATCAATAAATCATTCTAGTCTAAGTTCTTCTGTAGAGTTTGAGCCTTACATGTCAGTGTTAAGGCACGGTGTTGAGCCATGAAGGAAAAATTCACATAGCTGCTGCCATGTTACACTGCTTTGGAAATCTTTTTCCTTCCCCTCCCTCTTCTCCTTTACTTTCATTCAGTGAACTGAACATCTCTGTTTTTTGAGAAATTAATAGTTACTTCAGCTAGTCTGATATTGCTGTGATGCCACACCTGTTTAGGGAAGGGAGTATATGGTTTCCAGTGTGTTATTCTGTAAACAAAACCTTTCTGAATGATTTATTTATTTATAAGCTAGAAATTTGAGCAACTACTATGACAGGCTTCCCTCTTTAGGAAAAAAGACTCTTTAAGTGCTAGGTTAGGTCAACCATGCCTTTGTCTAGCTGAATCGTGAAAATCTTTGAGGATGGAGATTCCACAACCTCTCTGGATAGTAGTTCCAGTGGTGTGCTATCCTCTGAATGAGAAAAAGGTGTACTTGCTGTTTATTCTGAACCTCTCAAGCCAAAATTTGTTGCTGTTGCCTCTTATTATATCCTACCAAGGAGAGTTTGGCTCTCTTGTCTTTGTAATTCCCTTTCAGATGGTTGAGGGCTGCTGTTAGATATTCTCCTTAGCCGACTCATGCCAGAAAAGTCTACCTCTTATAGCCTTTCTTTCTAAGCACTGTGTGCTATACCACACCCATCTTGGTAGCCCTCTGATGGACCCTGCCTGTTTTTTCAGTATTCCTCCTGAGGAGCCCATTCTAAAACTGGAAACGTTCCAGCATTTAGAAGAAGGGGATAACTTCCTTTTTTCAAACGTTTCTCATAGGTGTCCTTGAGAAATAACCTTACGAGGTTCAGCTGTTGTACATCTTAAATACAAACTTAAACTGGAAACTTAAAAAAATAAAATAAGACTGGGGAAATAGCTTGGATTTTGAAATGACAAAGTTCACTTTCGAAACGAGGTCAAATGTGGACATTTTTAAGAAGCAATTTGGAAGTTTATAGATTGAATAAGGCAGAGGCTTATGATGAAAGCCAATTCATAATGATCATTATTGCATTGCTACATCTAATGGCGTCCTTTTTCAGAGTGGCTGTTTTAGTATGCTAACATTTTACAAGAATGCCACTCAAACACTTTCCCTTTAATTGGGAGGGAAGAAGTTAATCTGTTTTTAAAACAATCTTCAGACCCCTTGCTGTTGTATGCAAAGAATGTAAGGTAAGCTTTTGTCTGGAGTCCAGTATTTAACAAGAATGTTGTTGTAGTTTTTAGCTATATGGATATTGTATAATAAAACACTTTATCTATCTGTGTTGTTAATCCCAGTCTGAAAGAATCTGTTAACAGAAAAAAGAAGATTTTTCAGATTTGTGCTAGAATTAAAACCCCACAATTAGAGATTTGATGATATACATTCAGGTCTTGCTTTTTTTGGTCAGGTTTTGAGCCTGTGGTGATAGAAAATATGTTAGAAGGCGATGAGCTACGGACAGACATCGAAGCAGTGGAGGCTAAAATCAAGGCTCTTGGTGCTGAAAATATTCTTTGTGTGCATTCTACAACATCTTGCTTTGCTCCAAGGGTACCTGATAGGTAAGTTGTTTTTGCAAGAAGTGTGTTATTTGTTACTGTAAAAAATAAACCCAAACAAAACCTCCACGTTTTGAATATCCATCTTTCTGAGATTGCTTAATTACTACCAACAATTAGTAAAGATACTTTAATGCCCTTGCTTAAGGAAAATGGTAGGTTGAAACAATGTTCCACTTTCTGAAAAGTATATTAAAAAAGTGAGAATAATGCAGAATGTTTTCCTTCTGTCATGTAACTGAGGTTAATGATGATCTCTTGTGGTGAAACGAATGTCATTTTGGCAGTGGTTTTCTTATCATTTTGTGGAAGTGGTAAAAGTAGACTTTCATAGAAACATAGTCCAGGAAATGTAGTTCCGTAGCTAATGCCACATTTTAATATTACTGATGCCTTTTCCTGTCTTCTCCTCTAGCTAATGATGAATTTTCCTAGGCTGTTAATACAGTTTAAAAAAAAAACCTTACAGATAAATTTAAAATCTTTACTTGAGTTACTCTTTCCTGTATTATACTGATGTTTATAGGGCTGATTATGATACACTGATATAAGGAAAGTCTTGGAAGCATCTAGGGCAGATGTGCTGTATGAGTATAACATATGATTTGCCCTGCTGTAACTTACTGTGGTTTGAACATTTGCTGCCTGATTGCATGATGCTACTTCTTGTAATTTCCAGCTGTTAAATCACCATTAAAAGAAGCTTCAAATACATTGCATTCTTTCCTAATATTATGTGTCCATATACATAACTTCCATAGTTGCTGTGGAGATGTGATTCAAGCACTAGCTGAAGCCGATACGGACCTTATGGTTATGGATGGAAATAGAGTGTCTGAGACATTATTTCAACATGTAGCTTGGTTATGAAATACTTGAAAAACTTCTTAATCTGAAAATGACACGTTGGATTAGAGGTGCCTAAAGTACTTGGTATATTGAGTTATTTGTCCAAAATGAGGACCATTGTTACTTGCAAAACCTATTTTCTCTATTTGCTTACAAAAATAAGTATCAAGCAAATTGCTTAGGTTTTAGAATTGGACAGGTATATTTTTATGGGCTTGTATGTAGTACACTGAAGTATGAGATATTAGTAAGATGTCTTTTTTTACATGGTTTTAAATGTAGTGTCTCAGTTGTTCCACTTCAAGTCTTATTAATTTATCACAAAATTGACAAGACTTATGTTTAGAGTTCCTCTGCGGTGTGTGCTTTTTTGTTAATTACTTTGTTATCTGGAAAATGTAGTTGAATATTTGCAAGTGTAGGAAGGAAACATTAGTGGCTCTGAAGCATGGCAAGTAAAGATATGTTTCACTCTGTTTTCCTACCTTTAAAAAAACCCACAGTATTTATCATAGATTAACCTAGTTGCTAGAGGGAAGTTAAAACCATATAATTCTGTCAGAATATTATGAACATTGCTTGAAGTTGATTTGCAGATTTATTGGCTAACTTAAATCACAGCTATCAAAATTGAATGGTCTATTTTATAGCTTGAGTAAATGAATCTTTTCCTTATCTGCTTCCTCTTTTTGACATGCGATTGTTTTGTCCTCTGCAACTAAGAAATGAATTATTAGGTAGTGGCACTGTGTTATGATATACCACAGATACAGGAGCATTTGAATGCACTTTCTATTTAAAGGATACTGTCAACTGTTGAAGACCATAACATTCGTCTTCCTACAGGAAGGAAAATCCCATACAGCATTTCTGGAGGGTACCACTTTAAATGTCTGATTTTAAATATCTTGCATTTGTAAGGCTTTGTTTAGTTCTAGTGGTGGTGTGTTAACATTTTAAGTAGCTTAAGATTGTTAAAAGGTCAGGGTAAGACTTTTATACCTATGTACCTATAGCTTTCCTTTGAAGTATGATTTAACTTTATGAGAATAATTCACTAGTTTATAAAACCCCTTTCTCAGAGAGACATCAGTTCTCAGACAGTCTTTTACCTGCTGTTGCTGTGAGTTGTCTCTAAAACTACTGTATTTAAAAGAGAACTAAAGGAAGAAAAAGTGTCTCTTTCAGTTATTTGTGTACTTAGCAGAACTCTTTATCTTGTTACTTTCATTAATATTAAAAGAAAAAGCGAAGCTTTCTTTTTATAAACTTTCACAAACAGGAGAGAAAGAATAAATTGGAAATTTCTGTTAGTCCTATTTGTGACTTAAGAACTCGAGTAGCAGCCAAACTGACATTAATGCTTTATTTTTCTGATATGACTAGCAGCACTTCTAATGGTTCGTTTTAAGCCTTGCAAGCAGACAAGTGCTGTGCATAATTGTTTACTTCCCTTGCATAATCACATACTCTTTTCAAACTATAGCACTTTCATCCTCTGTTGTAATATGGATCTAATTGTTAAATAGAAACTTTTTAGGAAAAATAAAGAAACTTTTCTGTTTTCAGTACTTGTAGAAGCTAGCTTATTGCTCCTTTAAGTCTCGGTAGGTGAGAAAGACAACCATACATAGCAGTATGCCCTCTGTGTTTCCAGTTTGGTGAAATTCTCTATCTGCACTTGAAAATCGACGACTGTTAAGAAAGGAACTGGTTTCCTTTGAGTCTCTGTGGAAGGTGAGGAATGAGTCTGATTAAGATCAGCAGATCAGAAGGCAAAAGCTTTACCTTGTGTGTGTTATGTTTCCTGAAGTAGTATATTAATGTTACATAGTTCAGGATTCAGGATGTTGATAAATGTGAAAAATTATTGGACGTGCAGCCCCTGACGAATATCTTGACTGTAGAAGATCAATACATACATTATACCACTGGTGTTCCCTAATCATTAAATACTTTTGATTTTTTTAGGGATAATATGGTGGTGATGATGTTTTCCTAAGGACTGAGGTTCAGAAAATTTAATTTGAGGTTTGCAGCTGAATTTTGCATTACAAAATGGCACTAGGCAATGTAATAGGAATAGAATGCAAAGGAATGTCACCTCTTGGAAAATGTTTTCATACTCTGTCACATTTTATATGAATGTCAGTAAATTACAGTGAGAGGCTGTACAGAAGGAGATAGAGTAAAAATGCATTGGAGGTTTCGAGTTTCCTGATATTTTTTTTTAAAATAATATTACATTTATCATCACTTTAACTTATTATATATTACCTTTTTCAAATAGATTTTATTTCTAAAATATATTCAGAAGTTTGGGGAAAATCAAGAGCTTTTTTTAAAAATAGAGCATGATTCAAGTGCTTCAAAAAAGGGTACTAAGTACATGTATGTTTAAAATGCTGAATGCCCTTACCCAAAATGACCTGTGCACCCACATAAATCCTGGTTCAACTAAGAAATCGATCCAGACTGAGCTCACTGTGATTTCAGGGATTTCGAAAGGCAAGTGAAGAGTAAACAGTTAAACAAAACTTTAATTTGTTGATCTCCACATTCAGACATTTTAGGGCTCTCCATTCCTTTGAAGAATATCTTTTCTGTTAATCAGTTTATCTGAAATATGCAAGTGAGACTTCAGCCCAAGGGCTGAAATATTAGTTCTTTGAAATAAACAGAAGCATGTAAAAACTTCCTGTTATGTGATGCTTTTGATTCCCAAGACACATCTTGAAACTTCCATTAGGCCATTTTAAGATTGAATATTAGAAGAAAAGGAAAAAAAGCATGAATAGCTAAAGCGCTCTCAGTTATCATTAAAGTAGTATAAAAAAATGCTTATATCTGAAGCAGAATGATTTGGGATCTATTTACTGGTGTCCAGACAAAACTTTCAGTGAAGCATGAAAAATTTCAGCCCAGGTCAACTATTTGTAGTATACGTAAATGCTAACAGAATTTTCATCTTAACGTTTGTAGCTTAATGTGACAAGTGCTGCCTTGATATACTAATCAAAAAAGTTTCTTTTCCCATTCTGACCTCCTTGTAGACCTTTCAGACTTTTAATGGTATGATTTGTAACATGAGTTACAATGCTTCTCTAAATTATAATTTTATGCTCATAGGCTGGAGGAACTGGCCGTGATTTGTGCTAATTATGACATTCCCCATATTGTCAATAATGCATATGGAGTTCAGTCTTCAAAATGTATGCATCTTATCCAACAGGTAGGAGCTGTGTATTTTCAGTATTTTTTTTAACAAGTATAAATAAATCTCTGTTTGTAGACAACACTAGCAAATTTTATCGGATGTTTCACAGCTTTGAGACTAATCCCATGTGTGTCTGATATTTGAAGAATTTTCTGAGAAGGCAGAGCAGAGGGAAATAGAACTTAAAAATAATATTTGTTATTTCTATTATGTCATTTTTATGTAATAAACCCAAATTTATTTAGGTTTTGTTTATGTTCAGGTGTCTTTCATAATGGAAGACTGTCCTTAATAAGCTTTCTTAAAATATTTCCTAAACTTGTTGACTAAAAATAAAATAATGGATCATACTTGAATAGAGATTAAGCCTTCAACAGAATGTGAGTTACAGATTTTCAACTGAAAGTACAAGATCCTACAGCAACAGTTTATAGATGTTGTCACTGCTAAAATATTGTTGGCACAGAGAATGGCTGAGGAAACTGGGTTAAGTTCAATGTTATGTTTGAAAAAGTTTAATTTCTGTTGCTGTTTAGTTTGAAGAGGAGGTTGCTTAAAATCAGCCATGAAATAGAATTCTTGCATTTTTTGCTCATTGCCATGTACGTGCACTGTTTTTTCAATATTTCTTTTTTCTCTTTTTGCCCATATCAAAAGAATAGGGGGATATTTTTTTAACAAGATCCAAGGGATCCTGAACTATTATGAATTTAAAATATGCTGGCCATTTTTTTTCTAATTAAGGAGACATGTTACTAACTGGGCACAGAACAACTCGATATATAATTATGACAGGGATGTCATGTTGGCGTTTCTAAATCTTGAGAGACTGAAGGCATTTGACAAAACTTGGAAGTGATAAGCAAAATAGAAAATGGCACATGCTTTATTTGTAGTGTACTCGGTGTATGTTTATTGTATTTAACTTGCACAAGTTTAGTGAAATTTTAACATGAAGGGTGCTGTGGAATTGCTGAGTTTTACTACATGGAATGTATCTGATGATAATCTTTTCAGACTATAAAGCTACAAATAGAACTGTTACTGTGTTCGTTTCTGTGGTTTTTCTTGACTTCTTGATGCAATGTTCGGGGGTTTTGTTTGTTTGTTCTTTGGTTATGCAAATGTATACATTTGAGCTCTGATTTGTTTTACATTTATTTACAAAAATTTATTTCCTGCAATAGAAAATGTACTATTTATGAGGAAGTAGTTATTAATGAATACTTAGGAATATGTACATGCTGAGCACAGTGTGAACAGAGCTTGCAAGAGTATCACAGGAAAGAGCTTTTGAGACCATTTAATTTGTCATGCTTTTCCTCTGGCAGTCTCCTGTCAATTAAATCAAATTATAGCTGCTGGCATTCATCTTCCCATCAAAAAACTGACAAACTCCGAGTGCTTCTTCCTATCTCCCATGCACTAAGCTTTTAAAACATAGAAATAATAAATGTGGTTTAGTTGGATCTGCTTTTTTCACTCTTTTTGCCATAGGTATTAACTCTGTTTCTATTTCTTGGGTTTAGTTTGTAGTAGTTTAATACGTATGTATTGGAATATACTTTAATATGTATGTTCTTTAATATACTCTTCAGGTTCTCTTGTGCTGCATACTTTTTAATTGTACAGTTCACAGTAGCATATTATTCAAATTGAAGATGTACTGCAGGATCTACATTTTTTTTTCCTTTAAGACTATCTGAGGTGGCTAGCTATAAGGACATTTTGTTTTCTGGGAAGTGGGGAAATCTCCTGTAGGAAGTTACCTGGATCTTGATTTTGCAAGCAGCCTTTTAAGAAGGAGTGCTGTCACAGCCCACTTGTTTTAATGCAAATTTATACATGTGTCAAGAAAAATCTTCTTCTTCGCTAATGAAGCATTAACCTGTAGCCCTTTACTGTGAGAATCTGTGAAATGTTTTGGGTTGTACTGTTTTAATTGTATAATTCCCATTAAATTTCAAGGGTTTTCTTTTTGGTTGTTGTTGAAAATAAGCTATACTTAGACTTGCAGGAACTAAAAACAATATTTTAAATCACAGCAAAATAGGAATTTGTAAGGTACTATGTAAGCAGACAATGGTAATAATAGTGAGCAATGCTAAGAAAAGGTGATACTGTTTTTTAATTTTTCATCACAAATACAATATCTGAGAGACTTTCAGGAATTATATTTATTTTAGTTACATTGCTGTATGATTATGATGCTATCACGTGTTTCCTTTTTCCTAATATATGGCGTGCTTTTTTGTTGTTGTTGTTTCTTTTCGATAAAGGGTGCTCGTGTAGGCAGAATAGATGCTTTTGTTCAGAGCTTGGACAAAAATTTTATGGTTCCAGTAGGTGGTGCTGTCATTGCTGGCTTCAACCAGTCCTTCATTCAGGACATCAGCAAAATGTATCCAGGTAACTAGTTCATGGACTGATTTCATCCATACAAAATAACTGTAGAAAACTTGATTATCAGCTTTCTTTCACATAAAAATTATTTTTGCCAACCTAATCTGTATATTATTTTTGTCAGGAAGAGCATCTGCGTCTCCTTCCTTAGATGTCCTCATTACACTTCTGTCTCTAGGTGCCAGTGGCTACAAACAGTTACTGAAAGAGAGAAAGGTAAGCTTTTTGGCAAGCAGCACTTTCTTGAAGTCAACTGTTAACAAAGTCTTGTTGCAAAAATGCTTTGTGTAGTAAATCCAGTTTCTATCTAGAAAGCCATTGAACTTCTGAGCTCACAGCTCTGAATCTGGAAAGGCATTGTGATAGAATTACTTCCTGGCTAAATGATGCTCATGAGTAAGCATGATTTCCATGTTGTTTTCCAAACCAGAAAGCTAAACTGAGGTCCTGTACTATCTTGTACAGTATTTATATTTGTTGTTCTAAAGTGTGACTAATACAGTAGAATTTTGCCCACAAAAGCTTAATCTGAGAAATACTGTGCTATGTTATCATGGTCCCACTGCTTCCAGGCCTGAAGCATGAGACTGGACACTCAGAGGTAACCCAGGGGTCTCTGCTCCTCTTCATTTGGACCTATTGTGCCTTTCTGTTATGATAGTGTTTAATTAAATGTTTGTGTACCACGTTCTCTGGAGAATCATAGCTTCTGGTTAGATTATAAATACTGTACATGGCCACAAAAAGAGAAGAAAGAATACTGTCATTTAAGGTCTTCATCTAGATACAGAGCTAGGTTTCTTCTGCCTCCTACAGACTATGTGTTTTATGTTGGGTATAACTGCAATGCACAAACATTCAAGTAGTCTAAGGTTGGAACCTGTATGTCTTGAGTTATCCTTAATTCTGGACATAATACAGGCCTGATTTTGCTGTCTTTGTATATTACCACAGAGGATTCTTTTTGTAGAAGGTTTTAGGTAAAGAAATGCTGTGAATGAAGTAGTGTTAAGTTAATAGTTTTAAATCATGCATTATCTGTTCCATTATTTTATTTAGAAACCACTTTCCAATTGTT